GTCCGGGGACGCTTCCCGGCTGTCCCGTGCCATGGGCAGGGACAGCACCGTGCAGTCACCCTCCATGCTGGAGCTGGGCTTAGTACACTGAACAGGCTGAGAGGAAAACAGAAGGATCAGACAGAAATAAAGAGAACAGAATAAAGGAGAGGAGGAAGAAAATACAGAGCAGCTGATGAAGGACAGGAGAGAGAAGAATGCCAGCGCTAATGCCCACACACCATGCCATCCCTCTCTCCTGCTCTACCACCAATCTGTGACCCCCAGTGCCACTTCCAGGACAGGACCCCGCTGTGCACACGTACCCTGGGGAGCTGACAGGCACGAGTGCTCCCTGCACTGCTCCAACTCACACACATTTCTCCTGCTGCTCTCCAGCCAAACACACTGCCAACACCTGCACGAGCACACGCCCTCCCCCTGCCCACCACAGCACACAGAATCACAGAACAGCTCAGGCTGGAAGGCACCTCTGGAGATCATTCAGTCCAACTCCCACTCCATTCACTCCCCCTGCCATGGCCCAGCCTCTGCTGTCACCTCAGCACTGCCACACAGTCACACAACACCCACCCCGTGCATTTCCATCACACCTGTACAGGTGAACATGCTTTTATGGCCCCACTGCATCACAACACACCCAAAGTACCAGAGCTCAGTACAGCTGATGGAGCACAGACCCCTTGGGCGGCTCTTGCTGATGGTAGGACTGAGGCAGCCTCAGTTCTGCCAGGGCTTGCACCCAGCCCAGATGAAGCCCTGACCCTTCCTCTTAATGCCATAGAAGAGAATTTGTTACCCCAGCCAGAGCCTTCCTCAAGGGAGCAGAGAAAAGCAAAGACCAAACCTTCCATCCAAGTGCCTCCGGGGAGCAGAAAGACCTCTCCTGTTCAGAGCACATTCTCCAGCTCCTGTGTCATGGCAGTGGTCACCAAAATAGCTCTCAAGGGTGGGTTGGTGACTACAATGGCAGCTGGGAGGCTCAGGAATTTCGGAGGCCCTCCCCTAACCCCCCAACCCAAGCTCTGTGGCTGGCAGAGCCCTGGCTCATATCGTGTTTCCTGGGCAGCAAAGTCTGTGCTACCTTGAGAAATCCTGCTGTTGTGGCTATATGACTTTCCAGTGTAAAAACCCGAATTCCAACCACCTTTTCCCAGAGGGCCATCAAGCCTGAAAGTCTGTGGGGAGCCTCAATCCCTATTTTGTTCTTGGACCTGACTGGAACTGGGCAGGATCTGCCCCTTAGCTGTAAGCTCCAGCTCCCACTGTTGTGGCGTGTCCCGGTGGGGATTCCTCGCTCCCTGGCCCCACAGAACTATTTCTGTCAGACAAGCCACAATTTCTATTTTGGGTAAGCAGAGATTTGGGCAATGCAGTGAACTTTCCCAGCCTGCAGACAGGACAAGCACGTGTTACCCTGCATCCTCCAGGGCACTGAAAGAAATCTAATCTGAAATCTGCAGAACAAATACAGAGAAAGAATCAATGGCAAGAAACCAAAGAGAAACAAATTCAGAGCAGAAAGTACAGGTTGTTAATTAACTAATCATGGTGACCTGGTACTGAGACATGTCAGTTCTTCTCCGTTTCTCATAGTTCAGAAAGCAAAATTAGACTTTAATCATTTTGCTGTGATCAGTCCCTCACGGGTCCGGCTTTGCTGTCTGGTTGATGCAGACTACAGAGACTGTAACAGCTCTTTGACTCCTGCAAGGGCACTGTCAAAGAGTCACAGAATCCCAGGATGGTTTAGGTGAGAAGGGACCTTAAAGCTCACCTCATTCCACCCCCCTGCCATGGGCAGGGACACCTTCCAGTAGACCAGGTTGCTCTAAGCCCTGTCCAGTCTGGTCTTGGACACTTCCAGTGGTGGGGCAGCCACAGCTTCTATCCAGATGTTGCAGTACACTGGCTGCATGGCCAAAGAGCATCACCCAAATGAGCATTCCCATGCTGCTTCCAAAGGGAATTTTCAGTTGGGCTTCTAACAGTGGACAAACAGAACAGGCAAATCCTCAGCCTTTGTTAAATCCTGCTCACAAAGGGACCCAGACACAGCAACACAGATGGATCCAAGGCAGACAATCACCTGCTCCCTTCTCTGGGGGCCATTCTTGGAATCCTCATGATGAATTCCACCCTCAGTTACAGTGGTCAGGATTGATGTGCACCTCCTCTTGCTTCATTATCAAAATAAGAAAAATTCCCTGCAGCTCCATCTTGCTCCACAGCAAGGACAGGAATGGTTCCCTGCATCTCCTCCTGCCCCACAGTGAGGACAAGAACAGTTGCCTACAGCTCCACTTGCCCCACAGGGAGGACAGGAACAGTTCCATGTAGCCCCTCGTGTCCCATGGTGAGGATAGGAACAGCTCCCTACGGCTCCTCCTATCCCACAGCAATGACAAGAACAGCTCCTTCGCAGGGAACTAAGTGTCAGTAAAAGACACCCAGACACTGGTTTTAGAGGAGAATGTATGTGGTGAGAGAGTTGGCCTGGAGACAGGGAGAAAGAGAAAACCACGATGGGAACGGGACAAGAGCACCAATCATCTGGATGCAGTCAGACTGTCCAGAGATGGACAACCTGTCACTGACCTGCCTGTCCTGCTGGAAAGCCCACCCTGAGTCTTCCAGCAGTCACCAAACAGGCCAGAGCAGCTCCTGAAGGACCACCAGAACCTCTGTCCCCACACCAGAATCTCACTTGTCCCCACGATCCAGGCAGACGTACTTTTCCAACCAGAGCAAAGACAGGGTTGGTGACAGCTGGACAAAAGCACACATTGGCACCCATGGGCCCTTCCCCGAAGCAGGACATTTATAGATGCCGCCCATCACCCCGGCATTCCAGCACACTCAGCCCCACATTCCCATGCCAGGCGTTCCCATCTGACACAGGCTGCAAGGAACAGCTCCCAGAGGCTGCTCCGCTCTGCTCCACGCTCGGACTGTGCGGCACGGAGGCAGCTGCTGCCTGGGGCTGGCTCTCCCCCTCTTCCAGCTACTGAGTTACACTCAGAGACGCTAAAAATAAACCTTTTCCTGATAATGCTTTTTTGTGTGACCAGCAGGAGGGGAAACCCAAAAGCTGAGAAGTATGGGAACAAAAGGAGCCAGAGCTGGAGCCAATGCACTGAGTGAGGCAGAAAGCAAGAGGGCCTGGAAACAGGAGGAAAGAGAACAGGAGAAGAGACCTGTTTGCGTGGAATGGGATGGAGACTGGAAAGGTAAAAGAGATGATCCCAAAACAATGGAGTGGGATGATGACAGCAAAGGGAGGTCTTGCCACACCAGAAGGAAAGGAAGGAGGAGACTGAGGATGTGTGAAGGAGCAGGTAGAAGCCCAGTGGAATAGGGGTGATGCAGGGGAGATAAAAGATAAAAGGAAGCAAAGATGGAGAGAGGAGAATTTAAACAACACAGAAGGGAGATGAGTTTGTAATCCATAAAGTTTATGAAAACTGGAATTTCTCTTGGCCATTACATATGAGGGACTGGCAGGCAGAGCACAGGGCAGGAGCATCCACAGCTGGAGTCACGACACACAACATGATACATGAGCCACAGGGCTCAGCCACAACACACAACCACAGCCACTTTGCCTTCTGCAGGCCTGGGGGATCTTGGTTTTCATAGAATCTCAGGATGGTTTGGGTTGGAAGGGACCCTGAAGACCATCCAGTCCCACGCCCTGCCATGGGCAGGGACACCTCCCATTAGACCAGGTTGCTCCAAGCCCTGTCCAACCTGGCCTTGAACTTTTTTTAATACTTTCAGTCTCAGCCCCTTAGCCTTTCTCCTTCCTAAACACCACCCCAAAATGGATGTACAACTGAGCTGTGCACCCAACACTGTCATCACTGTGTTGGGAAAAATCTTTCCCTCCCTCCTTGGGAGCTTTCCGGAGCCACTTCCTTCCACAACAGATCCCTGCACTCTCCCACTCACGTCTCCTTCTCTGTCCTCTGGGCTGTTCTTTCTGCCTTGTTCCAGACTTTGTTTTTTGCAACTTTGCAAACTTTGCAACTTCTCTTCCCAAGAAGAAAAACCACCTGGTTCTTGCTCTCCTTATTTTCTTATTCCCATCTTTCTTTTGCAGCTATCTCCCATTTCAGTGCCAGAGTACCCCACAGTTCTGCTTCCCCATTTTCCTCTGCAGAGGATGCCATCACCAACCACAGCATGGCACCTTTCCTTACAGGGCAGGTAAGGAAAGGACCACGGCCTCCCCTGCAGGGACCCCCATCTCCACAGCCCCTCACTGCCTCCCCCAGAGGGACCCCCATCTCCTCTGCCCCCCCACACCCCCGCCCTGCAGGGACCCCTCAGCCCCACTCACAGCACGGTTGCCTCTCTGCAGGCCACTGCTGGGCAGCGCTGCCAGGGTCCGGTAGTCCAGGCGCAGGGGCTCGCTGGGGATGCTCTGCAGAGGGGAAAGAACCACAGACACCAGGAACGGGTCAGGCCCAAAGTCAACTAAGTCAAGGAGGAAGAGCAATGAAAAGGGAACCACCCCAGTAACAACCAAGGCCTTATCTCCAAACTCTGCAGAGTTCCCACTGCCTGGAAAAGGAGCTGGAATTGTTCCAAACACAATCTGGGGGATCCACAGCAGGGGCTGGGCTTGAGAAACCCTGCAGAGAACATGTCACTGTGGGCTCCTGGTCACCCACTGCTGCTCACATCCCCTCACTCCTCTTGCCCCCACATCCACTCCCTCACAGGGAGGGAGGAGAGTTGCTGCACCTACCCGTTTGCTCCAAGAGCATCCAGAACAGTTCCAGTCTGGATCTGGACATGTTCGAGTGCAACTCTGCAATTCCTCTAGTTTCTTTTCCCAACCTTAACTCACATTCACTGTACAACTTTGTTCAATTTTGCTTCCCATGTGTTGCCTTTCTAACCCCAAACAGAAGTCCAGGTTTCAAACCAGCCACTGTTTTCCACTGTCCCTTTCTCAATCCCTTACACATTTCTTCAGTTCTGATCTCTTCTGTTATCCCCAAAGTCACACCCGTCTAGGGGAGGGATTGGAGAACACAGGCTACAGGGAACAAACACTTTTTGGGGATTTCTCCAGCCTTCCAGTCCAGATGCAGCCCTTTTTTGGGACTCTCCAGCCCTCCTTCCGTGCTGCTCACCTCCACCTCCTCCTCAAGCTGCTGCGTGGCTGCCTCCCGCTCCCTACGCATCCGCTCCTTCCGTGGGACAGGACAGAGCCAGAGCAGAGAGACAAGAGAGAGGGAAAGAGGTCAGGCATGCTGGGCAGGAACTCCCAAGGGGATAGAGGAGCAGTGCCAGCACCAGCAGAGGGGGAGCAGAAACTCAGCAAGAATCCTGGGACCAGGGAAGGAGGAGCTGGAATTCTGCACCCACATGATTATCACCAGCAGAATGGACAGGGACACCTGGGACAACATGATCAGGCTGCCACAGTGCAGGGGAAGAGCAGAGGTCCCCAAGATCCTCAGCAGGGACAATCCTGGGGAAAGCAAAGGAAAGCACAAGCCACACAGGCACAAAGGGAGAGGAGGGGGTTGCTCATTGCTAGAAGAGACACCTTGACAGAGCAAGAGAGGCTGGAAGGGAATGGAAAAACAAATCTACAGAGCACAGGCCTGCCTGTCACCAAGGAAAAAAAAGGCCTAGAACTCACATGCTGCTTATAGCATCACATCAGGGAGGGACAGACCAGTCTCAGCACAAGGCTGGGCCCAGCACAGACCATCAGCCCACGGTCACTCAGCACTGCAGGGACACTACAGTGACCAGGGACTAATCCCGAAAGCCCCAGCCACGGGCGGGCTTCCAGGCTGCAAGAGGAAGGGATCAGTGTGGGGACTTGTCCTAAAGACTGATTTCTGGACGCTGATACCTCTGTGCTTTGCCGCCCAGAGCTGGGGACACAGCAGCAGCATCCTTCCCTTCTCCTGCCTACGGAACCCTCCCGGCTGCTCCTCCCAAGCAGGAACCAGATAGTCCAGAAGTCCCGAGGCTGGGAGGCTGAGAAAGTGGAAGGCAGCTGACAGGGAGCCAACTGAAAATTCTGCTGAGCACCTGGGCCCTTCTCTCCAACAGCTTCCACGCATCACAGACATCCAGTGTCCCACACTGCCCCCAACCTCCACAGGAGAAGACACTAATGCTCTGGAGGATCACAACTCCCAAAGGGATATGGAAGGATAGTTAAAGTTAAGGTCTATTCTGAATCCGGTTATGCTTAGTTTTGGACAAGTTCTCTGTAGGGTGAGGGTTCCAGGTGACACTAATCTGGTGTATGACCCTTCTCTGAGGCTGTACAGGAGCACTTCTCTGAGGAATGACAGGAGCACCAGCCAGCCCAGATGGAGCTGGGGAATGCTCAAAGTCCATCTCTGACAACATATGGGAAGGATTTGGATTAAAATTAGAAAAATAACTAGAGCCACAGAGCTGGGACAGACAAATACACCAGGAATCAGTCCATGGAGACTTGGAGTTACTGATATTTCTATTAGAAACTGAATTATCAGAGAATTGAAGGCAACAGATGTCTGCAGCAAGTGGGTTTGAAAACCTCTACAGTGAGTAGAGCAAAAACCAAATTCTTCCCAGTTCTTCAGGCTGGAGACATGTTTGGTCTATTGTTCTTGTGCAGGAATCAACATGAATCATTGAAGAGTAAGAAAAGACATCCAAAAATGGTTACAGAAATTACTGAGGATGTGGCACTGAGATGGGAACTTCCTTCAGCATTCCACTGGCCCACCATGCAGTGCTGGCTCCACCACTGGGATAAATTTAATCATCAAAAACAGCTTTACAGCACAATCCCAGATTCAAGGTTTAAAAGACTCAGCAGCAAAACATGTCTTTGCTCGTGGGCCTCAGTCCATGGATCCCGAGACCTCTGAGGAGCCTGGAGCATCCATTGCTGCCTCCTCCTGACACCCCAAAGGAAGGGGCACTAAGAAATACCAGCATTCTTAAAATGAGACATAGCCAAGGCTACTTCACCAATCATAAAGGTTTTTCTATTTTTTTTTTGGCCAAGTACTTTAAAGTAATCTCAGTATGAATTCTGGCAAAACCTTTCTTTACCTGAGCCTGGACAAATGTCACCTGCTCAGCCTGAGCAGCAGGTTGGGGCCAGACTTGGTTATTCACAGGTGTTAGAAGTACTGATACTGACCCCACATTACCTGAAGTCTCCTGGAGTTCCTGGAGTGTATTCAAATCCACATATCCATATTCAAATCCATATATCTATTTCCAAATCCATATTCAAATGCATATACTGCCAACATAAAACTGGCAGGAAAAGACTTTGCTCCAACAGAAACACAAAGAAATCAGGTTTGCTGAACCACTCTAAGTTCCTTCTCAGGTAAGGAACCAGGCATTTTATAGGAAAAACCTAAATCTATCTGAATTGGCTCTGCTCTGGGCTGAACCAAGGGCACTGGTGAGGTCCCTCCTACCTAAATTATTCACAGAATCCCAGGATGGTTTGGGTGGGAAGGGACTTTTCAGGGTCATCTAGTCCAGCACCTGCAATGAGCAGGGAGTCTCCAACAGGATCAGGTTGAAGCTTATTCTGTAAGGTCGTTCCACTTCCACCAGAACTGCCAACCTCACCCTGCTCTTGTGGGGCAGCAAATGTGAAAAGGCTGAGAAATTGCAACTGCTGAGAGAACCCAGAGAAACATCAGGTGTGACCAAACTGGAAACCTGATGGAACACCTGCAAAATGTCCAGACTCATCTGCCAGAGGAGCAGATTCCCAGCTGACAACACCAAAGAATTCAGCTTTCTCTCTTCCCAATGCTGACTGGATACATTACTGTTTTAGGAGGGAAACCCCAAGTCCTTGAGGGGCTCGAGTCTTCTGATCTATTTCTGGGCAATTCTACTTCTATTTCCAAGAAATTCTATCTCTATTTCTGTGCAAGGTTGAACCAGTGAGCAGAAACACAAAACTCTCACAGCAAAGCAGAGAAATGACCACGTGAACTGAGGAGCACAAAGCTGTGACTGATTAACAGCGTCACTTCTCCACTCAGGGCAGCTCTGAGCTGTGTGTTCTCATCTTTGCTCACAAAAGCTCTGTCAGGTCATGGGGTACTGGACAGTGAGAACTGATTAAATTTGGGACTTCCAAGCTCATTGGCCATTTTTCTCAAAGCTGCAGCTTGGCCAGGAGGCACCAGCAGGTAACAAGAATGGACTCTGAATACCATAGATGCATCACCAGAGAGGTGCATAGGGAGGCACGGTAAAGCCAGAGCAGCTGGGGTAATGGAGCAGTTCTCTATGGAGAGGGAATGTCCAGAGCTGCCCACAGCACTGACAGTGGGACACAGATCCAGAGCTCCCATGGCACTGACAACAGGACAGAGATCCAGAGCTGCCTATGGCACTGACAACAGGACAGAGATCCAGAGCTCCCATGGCACTGACAACAGGACAGAGATCCAGAGCTGCCCATGGCACTGACAATGGGACAGAGATCCAGAGCTGCCCATGGCACTGACAATGAGACTGAGATCCAGAGCTCCCATGGCACTGACAATGGGACAGAGATCCAGAGCTGCCTATGGCACTGACAACAGGACAGAGATCCAGAGCTCCCATGGCAGTGACAACAGGACAGACATCCAGAGGTGCCCATGGCACTGACAACAGGACAGAGATCCAGAGCTCCCATGGCACTGACAACGGGACAGAGATCCAGAGCTCCCATGGCACTGACAACGGGACAGAGATCCAGAGGTGCCCATGGCACTGACAACGGGACAGAGATCCAGAGCTCCCATGGCACTGACAGTGGGACAGAGATAACCTGTGGCACCTTCCTCAGGGCTCATGGGCTCAGCAGAGTCACTGTCACAAACAGATTTTGCTACACAAAAAATCTCTCACCACTTTCTCCATTTCTTCTCTCTCCCACTGAGTTGCTTCTCTCACCATTTCCATCTCCTAGGAGAGAGCAGAGTTAGAGCCACCTCAACCAGTGCTCTCTCCACACCTGGAGCACCTGGAACCTCACGAAGGCACCACAGTCCCATCCTAGTGCATTCCTGATCCATGTGCTGGGACCTGCTGACCCCATGCCATGTCCAGTGCCTGTTACGTTGCAGATTCCACGCACCAAGGGAGACTAACTAGAGATTTCCAAAAACTGTTTCCACTCTCCCAGTTCAGCCAGAACACCCACCTTCTGCAGGATCTCCAGTTCCTCAGGGCTCAAATCCCGGTCAATGGAGGAGATGCTCTCTAGGCTGTTCTTGCGCCCAATGCCAGCAGCAAAAGGGTTTGCGATGATTCCTGGGGACATCTGCAAATCAAAAGGCAAATCTCACCTGGTGGAAGTCCACAGAGTGCCATTCCAAAATTTCCCTATCCCGGGCTCCCAGATATGGAGTACCAGGACAATTCCTGATTGTCAGAACCAGAACTCTTTCACAATTTGAAACCTCATTCCATAGAATCCCAGACTGGTTTGGGTTGGAAGGGACCTTAAGAACACCCAGTTCTACCCGTCATTTCAGCTGACAAGTGCTTGAGGATCCTGAGGTCTAAGAAAGATGAATTTAAATGGACCCAGGGGCAGGAAGGGGATGAGGTGAGTGGGGATTGGGTTCGTGTTCTCCTGAAGAATACAAAAGCTGACTAGCTAAGCCTTGAAAACAGAAATCTGAGAGGGCACAGGATTGCTCCAGGGAAGTGTAACCCTGGAGAAAGGCAAGTGGGGAAAGGCAAACAACAATAAAGAGCCAGACAACTGACTGTAAAGGAAATATTGGCCAAAAAATGGGCACAAATAGCCTGGAGAAAGTGAGCTTGAAAACTTCATTTCAGTGCAGTGCTAGCACGGGACAATTCTGGAACCAGCAGGAATGAGACAGTCCTGAGGGACCACTGCTTTTCTGGACTGGCAACCACCTCCAGTTCATATCACAGGTCAGACTGAAATCTGGGACCTCAAAAAACATCTACAGCAAAAGGTTGGGAAAACCCAGCATTCTGTGAAGAAAGAGGAAGGATCCATGTGGGGGGATCCTGGTCACTCCAGCCCTCACCTCGATGGCAGCTGCAGCCTTGGGGTCGAAGCCGTCACACACCAGCACGAGGAGCGCGTCGCCCACCCCTCGCAGGATCTGCACCGCTTCCGTGTGCGTCATTCCCAGCAGGCTCTGGTGGTTCACCTCCAGGATCCGCATCCCCACCTTCAGGCGGCCATCCCGGGCTGCGGCCCCAGAGGAGCTCACCTGGAACAAAGCGGGGAGTCACGGTGTCACTGGAGAGGTGACAGAGGGGATCAGAGAGCACGGGGACCAGCGGGAGGACAGAGCGAGAGGGGACAGCACACACAGGGAACAGTGAGCCAGGGAAAGCATCTGCAAGTACTGCTGTAGACTGATGGAGAGAGCAGGGGAGGAAGAACCTGTACAGGCTGGTAGAAGAAACAGGTGTGGAAGAATCTCTTATGGGAGATAAAAGAATGTGAATTGGAAATGTGTTGTCCCAAGGAAACAAACTGCTTTGGCTTTGCCAGTGAAGTGGGTGAGAAGGAAAAGGTCTCAAATCACGATGGATCTCAGAAAGGGAAATCATTGTTTGGTGGGAGAGAGACACAATGGAAATGCAAATGAAGACAAACTAAGGAGGAAGTAGGCAGGGATCAGACATGCAAAGAGGAGGAAGAAGAAAAGCATCACTTTTGTATCTCTGTTAGTGGAAATACACAGGGAAAATCAGAGGCAGGAACTCCACTCTGGATAGGACAGATGAGAGAGGCTGAGGGGAGTAACAAAGCTGAAGGGAGAGCAGAGCCGTTCAGGGCTTTGGTTCTCTGCAGGTTAAAACAACCAGTATTGCGAAAAAAGGGGAGGGAGGTGAACTAACCCTGTACTGTGGCTAAACTGTGACCCTTCCAATCCCCAAATGCTGCAATGCTGTGAGAGAGAAAACCAAACCCAATCCTTAAAAACAACCATCAGTTACAATAATCCCAGGTTTGCTTTTCCTGCTATTGCAAATGTCTCAGGTGAAAGTGCAACTGTCGCTCTAACAGAGGGAATTTAAATGCACTCTTTTAACTTTAGAACCCAGATAAAGCAGTTACAGCCATGTAATGAAAAATGCTGCATGTTCCCTTGCCTTGAGTGCAGCCTCAATTATCAGGGCTGACTGGCTATTATGGAGTGTCCCCAGCCAGGAGGATGATTTACATCAGTCGCTACCCCACAAGACCAGCTAAAGAGGGAACCAGTGACACCAAGGTGAACCAGAATCTTTGAACCACAAAGGAGACCCAGAGTCTCCTTTGCCAGCAGCAAGACCCACTTATTAAAATGGCACCACTTATTACTGTGCTCCACTGCCAGCAGGGAAGAAGAGGTAATAAAAACTTTTTGGAAAGGGTTGGGAGGAGCATAAGCTGATGCACAGTTCAACAAGAAAACACGTGTTACTTCTGGGGGAAAAGTGATATGAGAAATAAGTGTGACACAAGCAGTCACAAAGGGAACAAAGTTGCACACAGGGTGCATGGCACAGGAGGAAAGGGGAGTAATTCCTGATGCTTCCCATGGAAGGAGGGAAGAGCTCATGAGTCGGGGGGGGCAGGAAGACACAGGCATGTGGGAAGCAACAGGAATGTGGGGAAAAGGAAGGATGTGTGCGTTCACGTTACAGAAAAAACGTAAGAGAGGAAACACAAGGCAAAGTAAAGGCAAACAGGAAATGGAAGAAGAAACGGTGTAGCTGTTGTAGAGGAGGAAATATGAAAGGACAGGGATTTGCCTCCTTAGGTGGAGGAAGAGTGTCTAGAACTGCTGCACCAGTGAAAGCAGACAGAGTACACCCAACAGATGCCCCAGGGATCGCCCTTCTCCCTGTGGTACCTTGGAAATGAAGATGCCTTCATCGGTGGGATCAAACGGATTGCCAGCATGGCCCTTGGCTCCACCCCGGATGCTGATGCCCAGCTTCTCTCCTGGAGCCTTTTCAATGCATATTTCCTGGAAACACAGAAAAGTGTTCTTGTTTCTGGGACAAGATCGTGCTGGGATAGCTGAGGGAACACTCCTCGGAGTGGCCATATTCTGAATGCCCTGAAGAGGGCCTGAATTAATCCTGCCCCTCACTTGGCAGTTTGGTCCCTTTGGTGAGGCTCTGCCCACTTCTGTTCCCTGCTCAGGTGTGGTCTTCAAAAATCTGGTCATTCTCTGATGACAGTCACCACGGGCACGGCAAGAGACCCTCACCACTCCCCCACTGGAAATACGCTTACAAGAGACTGGACCCTTCCAAAGGAGAAGGAAATTCCAACCAGGAGTCTGGTTGTGTCCTAGTCCCAGACCTCCAGCCAGGTTAGCAACGGCCTCCAGAGGTGCCCCAGTGTGATTGCCCCCAGTGCTGTCCCTCAGAGCCCACCTGCATGCCAGGCGGAGGCGGGTCCCTCCGGACCAGCATGGTGAGCTCCTGGGCGTTGGAGAGCAGCGCGTTCACCGCTTCCTGGTGGGTGGCGTGGCGCAGGTCGATGCCGTTCACCTCCAGGATCCTGTCCCCCACGCGGAGCCCGCTGCGCGACGCCAGCCCCCGGGGAATGACCTGCAGAGAACCATCGGCACAACTGGAGAAGGGAATTCCACCTTTCCTTGGAGATATGACTGTGTCCCTGGGCGTCCTCCCACACCCTCCAGGCCTGTTTTGACTCCTCTCTCTGCAGCCAAAGTTCCCCAAGAGGTGACCAATCTGTGAACACTGGCAAAGAATGAAGTGGGATTTGCTTTGAACTGTCATTCTGTATGTTATTCTCAGATTCCCAATTTTACCTGAACCAAACCTGTTCCAGCTTTGCCATTTTTTTGTCCATGACTGTAACCAAGACTGACAGCACCAGTACAACTCCAGCCCTCACCCAGTGCTCTCCTCTCACCCAGGGGATCCTGAGAGCTACAGAGGGACTAACCATGGCACCAAACCTCTGTTTCTGGTAAAACAAAGGAGTCAGCAAGGAAAGCTGACATCTGTGAGCACGTGGGCAAGCAGGGATGGTGGGAAAAAGTTAGTTTGGCTTTGGGAAGAGCAAATCCTGCTCCACTGACCTGCTGAAGTGCTGCAAGAGGAACAATGGGCACGTGAAGGAAGGGATCTGGCAAGCATCACTTCTCGAATTCCAAATAGCCCTTACCAGGGTCTGAACCTTGACTCCCAGCCACAGGTGTTAGAGGAGACAGATTCAGCATCTCCATGGGACAAGAGATGCTGGGAAGCAGAAAGGGCTGGGCAGGGATGTCCTCTCCAGCATCCCTAATCCAAGGAGCATGGATGTGCAGGACTGTGAGGGAATGGCTTACAGCCAGTGACTGGCCTGTGTGCTGTCCCTAAATGGCATCAACTGATGTCACCACTGGAACGGGAGCTGGGGTCGAAGGGCATTGGCCTGAGGGCAGCAGAGCAGTTCTGGTGTCCCTCCACTCACACACTCATCCCACCAGTGACTGACTTTCTGCAATGCCAGCATTTTCCCACGACTCACTAAAGCCAAGAGGAGCTCAGCAATTTCAGAAGCTAACTGGGATCCCTCCAAAGAGTTTGGCAGAGATTACACAGGTTTGAGGCTTTTATGTGCCCTGAGGTGGCTCCAGCAGCAGCAGCACATCCAGGTACAACCCTTCACACATCCCCCTCCCATCCCTTTATTTCATAAATCCGTCCTATACTTCTGGACTTGCATCAAAACCTTTCACCTTAACCCCAATAATCCAACAGCTCAGGGCTGGGCGGCTCTCCTGGGTCTCTACCTTGGAGATGAAGACCCCTGGCTCATGAATCCCAAAGGGATGGCTGGAATGGTCACTGCCTCCAACGATGCTGAGGCCCAGGGGACCACCCGCTTTCACCAGATGAATCTCCTTGAGGGAACAAGAAAAAGAGTCAAAGGGAATGAGGGATAGCACATACAGACCTCAAACATTAAAAAACATGGAATCAGGGGTGTTTTGACAGGTGAACACCCGCAAGACAAGTTTCCCCATGTGGGACAGTGCAGCCTGGAGAAGAGCTGGAAGGGGCTCCAAGAGAGCTGGAGAGGGACTTTGGACAAGGACCTGCAGTGACAGGACAAGGGGGAATGGCTTCACACAGACAGAAGGCAGGGTAAGATGGGATACTGGGGAGAAATCCTTCCCTATAAGGGTGGGGAGGCCCTGGCACAGGTTGCCCAGAGAAGCTGTGGCTGCCCCATCCCTGTGGAAGTGTCCAAGGCCAGGTTGGACGGGGCTTGGAGCAACCTGGGCTAGTGGAAGGTGTCCCTGCCCATGGCAAGGGGTGCAAATGGATGGGCTTTCAGGTCCCTTGCACCCCAAGCTTTTCTGTGATGACTTCTCCACGCCCCGAGAACCCAGCGGGCCAACCCCCATCCCAACACCACTTCTCAAACGAAACCCACTCGGGATTGCACTGCCCCGTATCCCAGGCCCAGCTCACCTCGATGGGGTACTGATCCTCCAGCCCTCTGGAGAGGTGGTTCCTCTGCGGCGCGGGCGTCTCCTCGGGCGGGCTGTCCCCGGGGCCGGGGGGCGGCGGGGGATGTGCATGCGCACGGGGCGCGCCGGGCGAGGCTCCTCGCCGGGCTGCTCCGAGCCCTCTCTCTCTACCAGCAGCACGATGGTGGGGGAGGCCGCGGTAAGCAGCGCTACGGCCTGATCATGCCTGGCTTCTGTCATGTCTACCCCATTGATCTAGAACAACCCGCAAACTCCGTGTCAGACCATCGCCCGGCACTTCCCGGCCAAGCCCCCGAGGGACCCCATCCTGCTGGAACACGGCCCTGGCTCAAAGGCCTGTGCCCCTAAGCACCCTCTAACTCACCCTGCTCACTCCTACCTGGCACGGGGACAGAGGTGCCTGCTCATCCCTGCCGGATCCCAATCCCCTTCCTAGACAGCTTTCCTGCCCCTTTCCCACCTTCCCTATGCACACGGTGCCCTGCAGCACCACTGATGCTCCAGGGACCCCACAGGCCACGTGTGATGCTCCACCTCCTGCACCCCCACAAACCCAGCTGGGCCTGGGCTTTGCTGCAGCTCACCCAGGAGAACACCCAACACTCCCTGGTCTTCCATTCCAGCTTCCCACTGGGACAAGAGGCTGCAGTAAAGGAATGGGGCCAAACACCTCAACATGGGAGAAGCCAAAACAGCGATTTTCAGCCACGATGCCACAAAACATCGATGTGCTGGGGCACCTGCTGCACTGTCACCGGGCCACCTGACCTTATCGGCCACCCAAAGCCCAGACACAGGCTCTGAAGGCTGACTGGGCCTGTCACTGGTCACCCAGCCACTGGTGGCCACCTGTGCTGGGCAAGGTCATGGCAGCCTGGGGGAGATGATAGCTCTAAGGCACAAAAAGTGACCCCAGGTACAGAGAGACCAGGAAGCACTGAGAGCCTTTCCTACAAAATTAAAACAGCTTCCCATGAAACTCAAAGGACCAGAGGGATGCAACTGTTCTCCACAAATGTATGAGAGGCAGAAAACCAAGAGCCAAGCTGGAAGAATGCTGCCCAAAGGACAAAACTTGCCAGGAGAAAGTTGAAGGTGAAAATTAAAAGGTTTCTAGTCATTAGGTTCTGGAAAATCTTTCCAAAATGAACGAGGACATGAAACCAGCAGCTGCCAAGATGGGGTTTGATTAGCTCATGAAATAACATGACTGTAATAGCCACAGCAACTGGGCTTTGTAGCCCAATTCCTCACAGCCTGATTCCAAATATCGTTACTCCCCAGCTCCTTCCCAGAGAGCAGTTCCTGCACTGAGCTGACACACACGGTCTGACAGGGTTTTGTCCAGAACCCCAAAGACACTCCCAGCACTCACCCAACAGGCCCTGTCCCACCCACAGCCACAGGTGCTGCTCCCACTGTGACAGGGAAGGAGAACCACAAGCAGTCCTGTGCTGTGCTGGAAAATCTGAGCCCCAGGTGTCACCTCTGCTGAGGGGACTGTCCTCAAGGGACACCTCTGGCACCAACCAGAAGGATGTGAAGGCAGCAACTGGCACACGCTCGTGGGAAGAGGAAGGATGAAAAGGACCTGGGTGGTGGCTGCTGAGCACAGGAGACAAGGCAGCAAGCAGGAAAGGTAATAAACTAACCATAAAGGTGCACAGACCTTAATGGAATGCAAGTAGCAGAGACAGGGCTTGAACACTCCTGGGTGGACCATCGAAGGAATCACCCACGTTAGAGAAGTGTAACCAAACTTGGTAACCCATCCAGAGAGGTAGTGGAGATTATGAAAGGTTATCTCAGCACAGCTCTTGTGGAAAGGGCCAACTGGCTGCAGGAAGCTTTAAGGTGGGTTGTGGGAACGTGCATCACTTATTATGGAATGTTTTCCAAAAGGGAAAGGGGACTGGTCCAGGATGAAAGAGGAGGAACTAGCACAGGGAAATGCTGAGGGTGGAGAACAAGAGGTTGCTGGTCGGTGCTGCTGTGGCCAAGCCCTGGGCCTGCTCACCACATCTGCTCTGCCCTCTCCCCACATTCTGTATTTACTGTGCCAGTTCATGCTGTTCTGGGTACGTGTGTGAGAGCTACTGGTAAAATTCAAGCTGGACTAGCCAGCAAGCAGGAATCCAAAAGGTGGTGAGAGCCAAGAGCTGGTCCAGAAGCTGGATGAAAGGCTCAGGGTCTGACCAAAGAGCCCCAAAGACCTCAATGCTTAGGCTGCAGGCTGGAGACCTACAGACATGAGCATTTCCCTGAGAGAGGCAGGGAATGTGTGCCCATTCCACCAGCAAACCCGAGGAGCTGGCAGGCAGGACCTGGGGGAAGCTGGCTGTTGTTCCTGCCCCGTGAGGACTCCCTGTGCTCAGCTGTGAACCTGTAAGGGCACTGCCCCCCTTCCTGCTTGGGTGAATCTGGGGCCAGCTGTGTCTGCAGTGTGTTCCACCTTTGGAATCTGCACTTACCCCTGCTGATGGCTGGACCTGGGAGCAGGGAAAGTGGCAGCCATGTGCCCAGAAGAGTGGGAAGGGAGGATCCCTTGGGTCCTCAAATGGTTAACAAAGGTGACACACAGGAGAGACTCGGCCTTTGGGTTCTATTACCAGATCAAGGTCCAAAAAATCACTGAATTGGAACAAGATGATCTTTAAGATCCCTTCCAACCCAAGCCTTGCTCTGACTCTGTGACTCTACAGTGATACTCCACAGACAGACCTGCTCCAGCATCACTCACTCTTGATTTCTCACATCCCCTCTGCTATTTTCCTGTCCCTGACACGATGAGAGTGGTCAAAGGGGGTCAGACCAGAAGGGCTCAGCGGTACCTCCCTAGAACAGGGATCAGGGCACAGGACTCCCAGAGTCAGAGGTGTATTGTGTGACAGCCCTTGATGCACTTCACCCAGTAATTCTGCATTACCTGGCAATGCTGGAGCCCTCCCAGCCTTTAGGCAGCTCCTTTTCCATGGCCTTTATCTAGCTAGAAAGCAAGGTCAGCCATGCAGCGCAGCTTTCTGAGTGTCCAAGAGGAAGGGACAGCATCTCTGTCCTCTCCCTGCTCCACACACTTCTCTGTGTGCCAGGAAATTATATTATTCTGACAAATCTCTCAGGGATCAAACTGCCTCATCAGGACTCCACATGTCACCTACCACTGTCCTAAATCTCCCCAGAATCAGTTTTCTTTAATCTACTCCCAGTCCCATCTAAAAACACCAGATGTCCCTAGTGACTGCTCCCAATTCTGCACCTTCCCTGCTAGATTCCCAACCCACAACTCCAACTCTCTGACATTGCCCCCAGCAGCCCCATGTCTTCCCCCACCAAAACGACTCCCAAGAGACATGGGAACACGGGGAAGTTGGGGAGTGTGTGTCACTCACTGGGGAATTTTGGGGGGTGTTAACTCGGAGAGGAGACCTAGGCTGGGCTCTTCATCCATGTGCTCAAAGCTCCCTTAGGAAAGTCAAAGGAGCAACTCTGGTCCTTCCCCTGCAGAAGGGTCCAGAAGGGTTTAGAGCACAGGGGAAGAGCAGGATGCTGTGCTGTATTTGTTTTCCTAAGAAAACAAGAATCCTTGACAAAGTGAGAGCTGAGGCCATGCCCAGGAGACCACGGCTTTGGAAACAGGCCCTGCCTGTGGGACCCACGAGCCCAGTACCTAGCAAGGGCCCTCCCCTTCCCCATGCAGGCACAGGGAACACACCAGCCTGCACCCACCCCCCAGGAATCACCGCAGCCTGGAGCCTTTCCAACAAAAATGGGCAACCACTGCTTCAAAAGGGGGCGGAAAGCAGGCTCGGAAGTTGCGGGAATAGTCCGGTGAGTGTTCTCCTGGAAAGCAGTAACCTGCTCCTGCACTAATCAGAGCTGAGCACAGGACCTGAACTGCAGCTGGTGCTCAGCACCAAACCTGTATGGCCACATTCACCTGGTACAGGTACCGAGGGGACCCCACGGGGGTGTTGGGACTAATGACAGCAAGGCCTCAGCCACATCAAAATCCAGCACAGGCCTCAAGCCTTCTAAGCCCTGAGCCCACACAACCTGCTTGGAATTCTCTGCAGGCTATTACTAGGGAATTAGATCTGCTTTTCCTACAAAGCTGCCCACGGATATAAATAGAGTTGGTGAAGGGGGGTGGAGACAGGTTTGACTTTTGACTCTGAGATTTTCTCTCTTCTTGCCACAGATAGAGAAAAACCAACCCCAAATGCTGGGCCTAAGTCCTGCCTCTGTACCAGGGAGCATTAAAACACGAACAAACCCAAAATAATTTAGCCTATGTGGCACCGATCAGGATCAGGGCTTCATTTTAAGAGGAGTGGGGAGCTCTAGCAGGAAGGGAGTGATGCTGTACCAGTTGAAGTCTCCTGCCAAGACACTAATGTGGGACCTGGGCCTGAGTTCCACTGAAATGTGCCCAAGCAAATACAACACAGCCCCAGCCCAGGGATAGAGCAGACAGAAGCCAGCACTGACGAGGCTGTATCAGTGTTTACTCACGCCAGCGCTGTGGTAACACGTGCTCTTACCACAGCAGCTGGGCCAGAAACCCACCACCAGCACCAGGATGCAGGAGCTTTCCCTCGGAGGCAGCATGCGAGCGTGGGAAGAGGGTCGGGAGGCTCAGGAGAGGCTCCCTGGAGGAGGGGAGCGAGGGACAGTAGGCAGAGACACGAGGTTAGAGCAGCGAGACCCGCAGGGACAGGATGAGAAACGGGCCAGAGCTGCGAGAGAAGCAGGGAAGCACCGAGCTACCCCTGCCCTGCTCCACAGCACCCTCGGGCAGAGGCCTCTGCTCCAGCTCACGGGTCACACTGACCCCACTGTGCCCGAAAAGGCTCTATCCCTTCTACTTGCCAAGGCAGAGCCCCCTCAGGCTGTCCCCCAAGCTCTGGAGGGACACAAGGCTGGGCAGTGCTGCCATGTCACCTCTCTCCATGCCGTCCCTGGGGGAAGCACTCACACAGACTTTGGGGAAAGGGGAGGTGTAACTGCACCCACCAACTGTCATGGACCAGGTAAAACCACCCACATTAAATGCTCCCCCAAAAGGCTCAGGAGCTGAAAAAAGGCCCCCCAAAATCCAGCTTCAGTGCCAGAGAAGCAGCTCCTGCATGAGAGAGGGCACAGAGCTGAGTCAGCCCCTTCCCTGCACACCCACTCACCGAGATGACCCGGTCTCCGATGTGCAGGATTCCGTCCCGGTGGGCTGCACCGCCCTCTGCGATCCGGGAGATGAAGATCCCCTGCAGCACAGTCAGGAGGGTCAGAGCAGCCTGGGCTTCCTCTTCACCTGGGCCTGGTTCTCCAGACCCATTCCTGGGTGCCAGGCAGGTCCCAGCCCTCTCCCCTCCACAGACCCTTTCCCTGCCCTGGTGCTTCCCGTTTGTTCTCCACTCCACACAAACTCTGCTCCCAGAGCCACTGTCAGCAAAGCCTTCCCGTGGCCCAGAGCCTGGAATATGTGCCAAGAGGGCAGCAGCAGGATTAGATGTCACTGGCAGAGATCGGAAGCCCCAGCCCCCCTCCTTCTATAAAAAAAGAGGGAGAGGGACTTTGGACAAGGGCCTGGAGTGACAGAACAAGAGGGAATGGCTTCACACTGACAGAGGGCAGGGTTAGATGGGATATTGGGAAGATATTCCTCCCTATGAGGATAGCGAGGTCCTGGCACAGGTTGCCCAGAGAAGCTGCTCCACTCCTGGAAGTGTCCAAGGCCAGGTTGGATGGAGCTCGGAGCAAGCTGGGATAGTGGAAGGTGTCCCCACCCATGGCAGGGAGGCGAACGAGGTGACCTTTTAGGTCCCTTCCCACCCAATCCATTCTGGGATTCCATGATTCCCTGACTTCCCTGGCTCTCAGAGTCCAACTGGCCCACCAGCCCAGGGCCAATGCTGCATACCCAGGGGTGAGGAAGACTCAGGGATGCCAGGGGATCAGGACTGACCGTGTCCCCAGCCCGGTAGGGAGTGGAGCCCTTGCCGCCGGCGATGCTGAAGCCCAGGCCCTTCTCGTTGCGCATGAGGCAGGTGGAGTATCTCTCGGTGGCAGGGGCTCCCTCGGGGCGCTCGGGGAAGCGCAGCCCCCCGCGCCGCTCCCGGGGGCTGTAGTCATCCTCGGGGCGCAGCGGGGTGACGGTGATGGCGTTCTCCGGCTCCACCATCCGCTCCCGCAGCACCGTCATGGACACGGAGCTTCCCGAGCCTCGCAGCGCTTCCACGGCCACGTGATGCTCGGCGCAGTGCAGGGACACGCCGTTCACCTGGGCACAGAGCAGGGACAGCCCTCGCCTCACACACAGCTCCAGCCTCAGCCCTGCAGAGCTGGGCTGGCACCCTGTTCCCACAGGTGTGCCCGCACGTCCAAGGAGCTTCCCTACATTCCCACAGCACCTGCTGCCCGTCCAAGGCCAGGGCAGCCCAGTAAAATCCCTTTCAGAGGAATGCTCCCCTCACAGGGAGCTCCAACTTCCCTACACCTGTATGAACCCTGCAGGCAACAAGCTCCTAGAAAAACACACCCACCCAGGACCATCTCCACCAATAAAACTCAGCACAACTCAGGTCGACACAACTTCTTGTTCGCCTTCCTCACACCCTGCTCACACCCCAAAACACGCAAAGCTGTCAATGTGACAGTCCCTTGGTGTGGGAAAGGCCATGGAGCAGATCTGGAGTGTGGCACGTACAGGGGAACCAGAGGATCAGGCCCAGCCAGCCCGGGGTTGTGATAAGTAGGTTCTGCCTGACCAACCTGATCTCCTTCTATGACCAGGTGACCCACTCAGTGGGTGAGGGGAAGGCTGTGGATGTGTCTGTCTGGACTTTGGCAAAGCTTTTGATGCCGTGTCCCACAGCATTCTCCTGAGAAACTGGCTGCTCAGGTGGGCAAGAAAACCAATGACATCTGGCCTGTACCAGCCACGGTGTGACCACAGGCCCAGGACAGTTCTTGTCCCCCTGTGCTGGCACTGCCAAGGCATCTCCAACCCTGGGGTCAGATTGGGGCCCCTCACAAAAAGGACACTGAGGGGCTGGAGCGTGTCCAGGAAAGAGAACAGAGCTGGGTCAGGGACTGGAGCACCAGGAACAGCTGAGGGAGCTGGGGGAGCTCAGCCTGGAGAAAAGGAGGCTCGGGGGGCCTTAGAGCCCCTTCCAGTACTTAATGGGGCTCCAAGAGAGGTGGACATGGATCTTTGGGCATGGGCCTGGCACGACAGATGATGGGGGAATGGCTTCCCACTGAAAGAGGGCAGGGTTAGGTGGGATATTAGGAAGGAATTCTTCCCTGTGAGGGTGGTGAGGCACTGGAATAAGTTACCCAGAGAAGCTGCCTGTGGCCACCCCATCCCTGGAAGTGTCCAAGGCCAGGTTGGGCATGGCTTGGAGCAACCTGGTCTAGTGGAAGGTTTCCCTAGGCATGGCAGGGGGTGGAACTGGGTGGGTTTTAAGGTCCCTTCCCACCCAAACCATTCCATGATTCCACGATTCTATGAAGACAGACATGGCTCCCTGAGTAAGAAGTTATTCTACAGGGTCTACTTTTGCCCCTCCCAGGTGTGCAGAGCTCAGCCCACTGGAGATATGTTTTTTCCCACCTGCATCACACAACACTTCAGAGCTGGAAATGCAGGAGTTGTTCTGTCCTTATAAAGCAGTAAAAAATTCACGGTAACATTAATTAATCAAGTATGAGCCAGAGGAATTCGGTTTTACTCTTGCACAGCTCCTGATGCTTAATTTGGCCTAAAACATGTGTGATGTGCACCTTCTCCCTCCACTCCAAGTCATCCAGAACCATTTGCTTTGTCACAGGAGCCAGGCCCTTACCTCCAGAAGCTTGTCCCCAACCCGGACCCCTGCGCGAGCCGCAGGACCCTCTTCGGACACCCGGGAAATAAAGATGCCCTGGAAACAAAAGCACCTGTTAGAGGTCGAGCCCATTCCTCAACCCTCTGGAGTGCAGAGACCCCTCCAACCCCTCAGCTCCAGGGAGAGGGTCAGTCCCTGGCCAGTCCTGGCATGTCCCCCCCTGACGTGGGGGCATGGCAGTCACATCACCCCCTTCAGGAGCTGGGAAAAGGGGACAGAAACCCACTGCAGGGCCACCCCCAGGTGACACAGGGGATAGAACTTCCCCCCAGGTGACACAGAGGACAGAGACACTATGGCAGGGCTACCCCTAGGTGACACAGGAGAACAGGGAATGACATGTTAACCCTTTTCCAGCGGGACCAGAACACGACACAGCTGATACCACTAGGTGTGGAACAACCCTGTACTCTTTCCCTGTGAGTCCCATGCCTCAGGACACAGGTGGGAAGGAACCTGCTGCTCCCACGGCCGCTCCAGGTCGGACCAACCAGTCCCACCAGCTTCCTGCTGTGGGGGGATCCAGGGCTGCTCCCACCTGGCCCCGACACATACGGACACCCAACCTCCAGCTACAGAGAACCGGTCCCCGAAAGCAGGTGCCTCACCAGTGACACAGCTCAGG